TGTTTTCCTGTCCACAGCAGGTGCGGTGATGCGTTGTTCGGTAGTGACGACGACGAAAGCAAGTTGTGCAGCATGACAGCGTGGTCCATCGCTTCAGGCCACTGGTGATTGGGCAGTCGCATGCCACGCAGTAACTTGCGCATGGTGTTCTGGAGAGTTCGATTCATCCGTTCCGCCACGCCTTGCTGTTGATGGGCGTAAGGAAGCGAGATGAGTTTCTTGATTCCCTTTTCTGCCAAGAACTGCTTGAACCTCTGTGAGGTGTATTCTCCTCCTCCGTCTGACTGAAAGCTTTTCAGTTTCTCGCCTGATTCTCATTCTGCTACTGGAAGCCAAGCGATGAAGGCTTCGAAGGCCATGTCCTTGCTCGGAAGATTGAGGTGCCAAACGTAACGTGTAGCTGCATCGATGAACGTGATGGTATAACTGTATGCTCCTTGTCCGGGTTCGCGATTGTACAGGATGTCGATGTACACCTTTTCAAGTGGTGCGTAAGCTGGTGCGCTGGGGTTGTGGTGAGGAGTGAAAGGCCGATGCGGTAAGTCGGCTTCGGGGCAGGTAAAACACGTTCCTCGCGCTCGTCGAAGTTCACTTCCGTCGGTTAGAAGCAATGAATCTTTGTCGAGAACGCCTGCTCTTATTGTGTTGTTTAACACTGTATTGCTTGGATGTCCCATTCGTGCGTGCCAGATGTCTTCGCTAGCGCGATTTCCGGGTGAACGACGATACATGTCGGAGTTGGAGTAAAAGGCGGCGGTGAAGTTGGCGCTTCTGTGAACTTCGCGAGGAGTGGGAGTTAGCTGCTGCGCAGGAGTCGGTGAAGTATTGTCGATGTGTAGCGATGTCGTTGAAGAACTTGCGACTGGTGTTGTAAGTGTTGTTGGTATTTCCGATGGTTCTGCTGCTGCCGATGTTGTTTCTGCTGCTGTTGTTGCTGCTGCCGATGTTGTTTCTGCTGCTGTTGTTGCTGCTGCCGATGTTGTTTCTGCTGGTGCCGAGTGTTGAATCGTTGCTAATGCTCTTGTTCGTTCTGCTTCAGGGATGGTGTGCGAGTACCAGAAGCCTTCTGGACTGAAGTCGGGGTCAAGATCCGGTGGATGTGTCCAAGAGGTGAAGGTGACGATCCCGTCGCTGTCAGCAGTGCCGAGATCTGGGACGAAGTCGAGGACGAAGACACTATTCTTCAGTACTGCCTTGCCGATGTAGAGTCCCCCTCGACCGTGGAAGAGCTTGAACTCCTGTGTGGTGCTGTCTGCTTCAAGATGGATCCCCTTCGACATTAGTTGGCTGACGCTTAGTAAGTTGTAGCCGAGTCCCTCTGCTATTAAAACCTTTGACATTTGCAGTATGACGTTTGTCTCTCGTGACTGAAGTTGCACTACGCCTTGTCGTCGTGTGCGCAGGTTCTGATTGTTGGCGACGGTGATGACGACTTCACATTGAAGTTGGTGTTCACGTTGAACAAAACGTCCTGAGGAGCACATATGCTGTCCAAAGCAACTGTCCAAGAACCATGTATCCTTCCCGGATGGCTCGCTTTGAGCGATGGCTGCATACGTTGGATTTGGTTGAAGTGACTCGCGGCGAGGCGTGCTGTTGTCGAGTTGTTCTTCCGGTGAGTAGTGTGGTGGAGACTCGGTGATGCAGGAGTCAGCCAGTCGTGTCATACAACTGACGATGTTTCTTGTTCCTTGCGCAGGTTGTCCCAACGTTGAGGCTTGTACTTGAGAAGTCGAACTCGCTTGAGTTGAGGTAACTTGACTGCTTGAAGGCCGAAGCTGCCGCTGCGTTGGTACTAACTGTTGTCGGTTAGGGCAGTGTGAGCGAGGATGCCCTGACGTTTTGCAAAGATGACAGAACGGAGGTACTGATTTCGGTTGATGCCGATTGTTGTTGTTGTAGCGTCGTTGAGTGTGGAATGCAAATTCGGGCACTGATGCCTTCTTCTTGTGTCGTTCCTCTTGCAGGTCCATGTCTTGCTGCTCAGCATGGATTTCGGCGCAGAGTGCTGCTTCTGATATCTTTCCATGTGCTCGGAGTATGGCGCGGGTAGAGCGCCACTGAGGACCGAGGCCACCGATGATGACTGTGACGAAGGCGTCTTCTGAAATCGACCCTCCGCATCGAAGGAGTTTGTCGCGCAATTCGCGACAACGGCTGATATACGCCATCCCCTTTTCGCCTGGTTTCATTTCGACTGTCGTCAGTTGTGCCATTAACCGACTTTGATTTACGCTGTCTGTTGCTTGATACAGGTTCTTTAGGTGGTTGTACGCGAGCTCTGCAGAGTTGCCGTAGCCCCGGTAAGACCGTATGTTCTGCTGCTGACTTGGAGTGATATTTCTCAGCAGTATTGTGTACGCCATCATTGACTGATAAGTGTATTGCTGCTTGTCGTACTGTGTGCCGTGTGTTAGATATGGCAGAGACCCGTCGAAGAAGCCAAGAATCTGCGCGCCTTCCATCATTAACTCGAACTCGAATGACCAGGTAAAGAAATCCTTTCCGTCGAAAGGCCTTGTCGTCTGCAGTTTTAAGACGTGCGCGAACTGCGCCTGAACTTGAAGTGCATCCAATGTCTTTTCTTGTCCGGATGCAGGCTGCGGGTGTGGCATAAAACTGACGGAGCCACGCTGGGGCTCATACGGGGCAAAGGTAGGCCGTTGCTGTTGATTTCCACGTGCGTAGGATGAACCGTCGAGGCTCATCGGTGTTGCGTTGTTGTTGCTGTTGTTTGACTGTGCAGGTGCCCCTTGCTGGTGCTGTTCGTAGAAGGACATGAAGGAGAAGAACTTCTCCATCATGTCTGGATCGAAGGCCGCAGCTTGATTTGCGGGAGTTTCCGAAGACGATGCCCTTGGTCTTGTTGCCGTACCCTCCTCTGTCTGTAGGCCAGAGGCAGGAGGTGGAGTAGGAGTAGTGCCAGGAGAGCCGTTAGAGGAGCTTCTCTCCTTCTGCGTTGCCATTTCTTGTTATGTCGTAGATGTCTTGATCGTAGTTGAATTTTTCCTGACTGCTCTCATACCATGTTGGGCTGAGAAAGCCCTTAGGATCTTTGCAGGACAGAATTCAAGAGTAGGATGATGTAGTAGCGGAAGCGTTTAATAAAGGATTGTGAACCACCTTGCGCTTGTATGTGAGGGCAAAGTAAGTTGATAATAACAAAAGGATACAAGCTTTTATATGATTACAAGGAATATGAAAAGGTTCTATTTTAACTGTTTTGCTGTTGCGGTTCGATACAGTGCCGACTCGGGTAACTGCTGTGTAACGAGTCAGTTATATGTCCTTGCTGTCGCACTGTACATTTCGTCAGGTCAAAGGTCGCTGACCTTTGACTCTCGCGTAACCTCCGGCAGTTGTTCAACCTCCGAGGGTTGACTCACCGATGTTTCGATACGATCCGTTTCGCTTCTGTCTTGGTGTTTTGACACGACAGAGGCGCTTAAGTCAGTTGTTTCCAACATAATCAACTTATCTTGCCCCCCCCTTACTAGTGCAAGGTGGTTCAGTAAACTTTATTATTACGCTTCCACAACAACAACATTCATACTCAAAAGGTCTTAGCCTTGAAAAGGATCCTAAGGGCTTTTCTCAGCCCAACACTTCCTTCTCGACATTTTCTCACCCAAACTCTCTCGACACTCAACCCTAGCATGGCTCCTATGCCTCCTAAGCCTATACCTAGTTTCCTAGGTGCTTAGTGTTCTGAAAGTGACATCATGACTCATCATTCACATATATTATCTCATGCCTTCATACCATTTCAGTTGCTCGCGGCGGAGGAATCTTGATCTCCCCAAAGCCATACAACCGAATTAGGTTTTGCACACCCTCTCAGCCTGACTATTTCAACCTCAAATAACTTGAAAAATTACCATGCTGACCTCGGGCTTTAACAGTGAGGATCAACAATGTGTAGGAATTTAAAACCGGGGTGCACATTCAGCTGAATGTGCATCAAAGGTTATCCCTTGACTGAGTGGGTTACGAGGTGTGCTTTCAACCCCTTCAAGTCGAAATTCGTTTCCCCCCTCCCCCGCAATTTCGTTTCCCCACGCCCCCGCAATTTCATTTCCCCCTCCCCGTCGAAATTCGTTTCCCCCCTCCCCCGCAATTTTGTTTCCCCCCTCCCCCGCAATTTCGTTTCCCCCCCCTCCCGCCAATCTGTTTCATCCCTCCCGCCATTCGGTTTCACCCACTCCCGCCATTTCACCCCCTCCCGCCACCTACGAAATGCCCGAAGCTCTAGCGGAATCATTTTTTTGTCGCCCCTCGTGAGCCAATCACTGTTTTTCTCCAAACCCCCTTCCCAACATCTCAAGCCGAACCGCGTTGAATGTGCACCCTGGTTTTAAAGCCCGCGTCCCAAATTGCGGGCCGCGAGGGTCAAGTTTTTAAAACTTGACGAAGTTGAGTGTCCAAGCTTTTGAAAGTCACGCACTTGCAATTTGGGACTTTCGAAGACAGATTCACTCACCAGGGGGAAAACCGAGGGTTGGCTGGGTCTCGCGAAAAAAACGAACCTAGACGAAATCGGAAACTCTCGCCAAAGCCCACACCAGAAAAACTCCCTCTGGTCAACTTTTAAAAGCATGAACAATTTGGGCCGCCGGCTTTAAATGGTCTAGGCTTTACGCATATCACCATTGATGTTTTTGCAGAACAAATAGCGTGTTTATTGGGTCAAGAGGTAGCCGTTACCGCTTACGATTTCCTCTCATGTTCCGCGATGAAGGTCATCAGCGCCACGGGAACCTGTGTTTTTCCGGAAATGGCGTCCGTACGCAACTCACTCCGCTGCGGTACTCTGGACATGTTGCCATGTCGTTGTGTCACCATGTCACGATCGTACACTAATACCCTGCCACACTGTCACCAAGTTGCGACGCGCGTGATTAAAAGCCCCTTGCGCCACTGAAATCTTCTTGCGCTGGCCCGCGCGTCCAGTTCTCCGCAGTAACACCGCCCCACTCGCTGAGTCGCTGCCGCCGCACGGTATGAGACGCACTGTGGAGAACTTTCGCTCGGCGACAGAGGGCCGCTCGGGGGAGTGGCGCATGCGCGCAAGCGCAGGCGGGTTGGCGGGATGGAGTGGTGTGGCGGGTTGGGGGGGTGTGGGCCCCACGCGCATCGACGAGGACGGCGACGACACCGGCCTGCTTGACGCGTGGCACGTTGATGACGTGGCGGGAGGGCAGGAGAGGGATGGGGTTGGGGTTGGGGAGGGGGAGAGGGAGGGGGAGGGGGAGGGCATGGGGGCGATGGAGGAAGGGGATTTGGAAGAAGTGGCGGACTTGGAGGAGGTGATCGATGACGAGGCTGACAATATCGCATACGGGGAGGAGGAAGAGGAGGAGGGGGAAGAGGAGGGAGAGGAGGAAGCGAGGGGGGAGGGAACAGCTGCTTCCCGTGAAGGTGAAAGGGGCAAGAAGGGTGAGGAGGAGGGCGAGAGGAACGAGAGGAAAGATGAGGAGGAGGACGAGGAGGAGGAGGGAGAGGAGGAAGAAGAGGAAGAAGAGGAGGAAGAGGAGGAAGAGGAGGGCGAGTCGGGGGAGGACTCGGACTGGGCACCGGAGTCGAGCAGCGCACAGGGGGACTCGGAGGACGAGGAGGGCGAGGAGGATGAGGAGGTGCAAGGGCACGATGGTACAGGCGCACAGGCGAGGCGCGAGGAGGGGCTCGCAGCAAACGGGAGAGGGGAGGGGTTGAGCGCGGAGAGATTGGAAGGCGATGGGATGGGAGGGGGACGAGGAAAAGGACGGGGCAGGGGGAGGGGGAGGGGGAACGGAAGGGGGAGGGGTGAAGGCAGGGGGAGAGGGAGGGGAAGGCCGAGGGGAAGTGGCGAAGAAGGGGAGAGGGGCGGCAGGGAAGGGGGGAGAGGCAGGGGAAGGGGAAAGGGGAGGGGCAGGGGGAGGGGGAGGGGGAGAAGGGAGAGCAGTGGGGGTGCAGGTGGCGGTGTGGAAGGGGAGGGGGGCGAGGAGGGCGGGGAGGGCGGGGAGGGCGGGGAGGGTCAGTGGGATAATGTGGGTGCAGGGAGGGGGCGGGGGAGAGGCAGGGGGAGGGGCAGAGGGATGGGGAGGGGGCGGGGGAGAGGGATGGGGAGGGGAAGGGGAGTGAAGCGCGGCACATCAGGTGACGGCGAGGAGGAGGGGGAGGGCGGTGCGCTGGGCGCATGGATGATGGCTGGCGGCGCTGCGACAGTGCCGTCGCTATCAGCGGCCCACCGCAATCCTGCTCTGGCACTTGAGACAATCTCCCACTGGGGCCGCGGTGCAGGGGGCGACGGCGGACAGGGGGGCGTGGGGGGCGCTGCAGGGTGGGTGGACGAGGGTGAGGAGGGAGAGGATCGGCAGCAGAGGAGAAGGTGTGTGGGCCTCTCGTCGCTGGCAATTTGCTCATCCGTTGCTCTTACTTCCACCCCTTAGAACCCCCTCCCCTCTTGTACTTCTGTTTCCTTCGTCTCCCCTCCCCGCTCCCTCCCTCCCAATGGTCGAATCACTTACCCGCTGCCCTCTCCACATTCGTCCTCCCTCTTTCCCGTTAGCTTCTCTTCTCTGCACTCCAGTCTCCAATCTCTGCCTCGCACCACTCCCCTCCCGCCCCTCGCTCCTCCCAATTCCCGCCCCTCGCTCCCCGCCTCCTCCTCCTCCCACCGCGCAGGCGCCGCCACACACAGGGGGACAGCTGGTACAGCAGCGACGAGGGGGGAGGAGAGGGAGGAGGGGCGGCACGGGCGGCGTTGTTTGGAGCTAGCATGGACGAGATCTGGGAGGCCGCCACGGGGCCGTCTCGCAAGCGAAGGAAGATGGTCCGTCCCTTCCCACGCTCTCCCCGTGCTCTCCCCGTGCTCTCCCCGTGCTCTCCCCACGCTCTCCCTATGCTCGCCCTTCTCCCCCGTGCTTGTAATTTCTTCCGTGCCCTTGTCTTGTCACACCATCATCACCCACACCCCCCCACCCCCCCCCCCATCCCCCCTCCTCACCCCACATCCCCTCCGCAGCTGCGCAAGCGGGGGCGGCCCAAGGGGTCGGCACGCCTGTCGCCCGAGGTGGTGGCGCGGCTGGGCGATGCCAACCTCATGTACGCCATGGGGCGCTACAGCCAGGTGAGCAGCGGTGCAGCGAGATTAGGAGCGGTGCAGCGAGGTTAGAGCGGTGCAGCGAGGTTAGGTCGGTGCAGCGAGGTTAGAGCGGTGCAGCGAGGTTAGCAGCGGTGCAGCGAGGTTAGCAGCGGTGCAGCGAGGTTAGCAGCGGTGCAGCGAGGTTAGCAGCGGTGCAGCGAGGTTAGCAGCGGTGCAGCGAGGTTAGCAGCGGTGCAGCGAGGTTAGCAGCGGTGCAGCGAGGTGGAGGATGCTACGGCGAAGGGACACCACAGCGAGGTGGGGCTCATTGCAGCGTGGGGGGCGGAAGGACGAACTGAAAAGGCGAGCGTGGAGAGGAGCAAGGCGATAGAGAAGTTACAGTGAGGGTAATAACCGACAGGGCAGCCTTTTCCAGAGGGAGGAGCGAGGAGTGAGGAAGCGAGGTGGGCCGTGGGTAGCATTGTGAGCTCCCTCATTCAGCATGAAAGAGTTCCGGGTTGCAGCGGAGGCTTGATGGAGGAACGGCAGGAGGCGGCAGGGCAGCTTGTGTTGATCGCCTGCTGCGAGGGCAGCTGGCATGGCAAGCTAACAACGCCGTTGCTGCAGGAGGAGGGCGAGAGAGTCAAGCACAGCCCACATCACGTTTCACCACACGGCGGTGGCACTGCTCATGCTCACCATGCGCCACTGCACCACCCGTCCCGCCCCTGCCCGCCAGGCCATCCCTCTACTGGAGGCGGTGATCAGGGAGGTGCCCGCTGTGCCCGACAGCTACCAGACGCTGGCGCTGGTGTACGATGCAATGGGGGAGCGGCGGAAGGCCGTGAATCTGAGCATGATCGCCGCGCACATCACCCCGCAGGACACCGCTCTCTGGCGCCGCCTCGCTGCGTGGTCGCTGTGAGAGAGGGGAGGGGGGAAGGGGTGGGGGAGGAGAGAGCTTGCATGAGGATGGTTTGGACTGGGGTGGGGAGTGGGGAGGGGGAGAGTGTGAGCAGGTGATAGTTACTGCGTGGCGTGGCTCCTTTCCTTTTATTGGCCATCTGCCACTCACGCTTCATTCCTCTCCGTTCTCCCACCTCCCGTGCGTGACTCTTCCTGTGCGCTGCAGGGAGCTGGGCAACCCATCTCAGTCGCTCTACTGCCTCTCCAAGGTACTCCCTTCTCCATACTCCACTCCCCCACTTTTGCTCTTCCCCTCCATGTCTTCTCGCTACCCCTTTTGTTCTCCACCCTCTCGTTTCTCCCCTCACACCTCGCCTCCCTTCTCAGCCACGGCACCACATGCATGCACCTCTCTCGCCCCCAGCCTCCCACACCTCACTGCTCTACCTTGCCCCTCTCATGTCACCAGGGGCACTGCTGCTTCCCCTGCCGCTCTCCTCCCCTCTGCTACCCTCACATCCTACTCCCCCCACTCCTTCGACACTCCCACCTGGGTGTGGAGGCAAGGCAGGGCCAGGTGCTGCTGCTGCCAGGTGAAGCCCACCATTGCCGCCCACCTGCCGCTCGTCTCTCCACACCACACCCTCTTCTCTCGCCCCCCTGCTCCTCACCCGCCCTTACCAGGTGCTGCGGCGGGACCTCTCCGACGTGGAGGCGCGGCGGGAGCAGGTGCTGCTGCTGCCGGGCGGAGCCGATATTTGCTGCCCACCTGCCGCTCGTCTCTCCACCCGCTCTTCCCACCCCCCACCCTCCCTACCCGTCCATCCCCGCCAGGTGGTGCGGCGGGACCCATCAGACGTGGAGGCGAGGTGGGAGCAGGCGCTGCTGCTGGCAGAGGCAGGGGACTACCGGCGGGCGGCGGCTGCTTTGGAGCTCATGCGCGCCCACAGGGAGGCGGACGGGCAGCGAGAGGCTGATGGGGAGGTCTGCAAAATGCTGGCGCGGGTGAGATGCGTTGAGAGTGGGTGTGGCATTGCAGAACCTGGCCACCTGGCCTGGCATGCGATTGTGTGAAGTGGATGGACGCGGTATGGCATTGTGTGCTGATTCTCTATGCATGGTGTGCTCACGCCCATTCTCTCTATGCGTGGTGTGCTGACGCCCATTCTCTCTATGCATGGTGTGCTCACGCCCATTCTCTCTATGCATGGTGTGCTCACGCCCATTCTCTCTATGCATGGTGTGCTCACGCCCATTCTCTCTATGCATGGTGTGCTGACGCCCATTCTCTCTATGCATGGTGTGCTCACGCCCATTCTCTCTATGCATGGTGTGCTCACGCCCATTCTCTCTATGCATGGTGTGCTGACGCCCATTCTCTCTATGCATGGTGTGCTCACGCCCATTCTCTCTATGCATGGTGTGCTCATGCCCATTCTCTCTATGCGTGGTGTGCTGACGCCCATTCTCTCTATGCATGGTGTGCTCACGCCCATTCTCTCTATGCATGGTGTGCTCATGCCCATTCTCTCTATGCGTGGTGTGCTCACGCCCATGCATCACTGCTGCGGCCTCAGAGCGCCTTCCTTCACCCACCATCCTGCGACCCCTCCCCCCCTTCCCACCCTTCAGATGTATCACCGCATTGACCAATCAGACAAGGCCATCGAGGTCCTCCAGTCGCTCCTCTCCTCCTCCACCCCCTCCGCCCCCGCCGCCCCGCTCGACCTCACGGCGGTCAACATTCTCGCCGAGCTCTACATGACAAAGGGAAGCTTCCAGGAAGCTCTGGCTGTGGTGGAGCGCGCGCGGGCTTCACTGTGTCCCGGGGAGGCCCTGCCGGTGGATCTGGGCGCCAAGGCGGGCACGTGCCTCGTGCGCCTGGGGCGGTTCACAGACGCTCAGGTGAGCCCTGTACTCTGCTGTGTGCCCTGCCCTGCGCTCTTCCCTGCCGGTGGACCTGGGCGACAAGGAGGGTGTGTGCCTTGCCTCGTGCGCCTGGGCGTGGGCCGACTCAGAGATGCACAGGTGAGGCGCAGCAGAGGCAGCAGGTGGCGGTGGTTGTGGTTGCAGCCATGCTCCTTGCAGTGTCTGAGCTCGAAAGGAGGCCCTTGCAGGCCACCAAATCATCATTGCCACCTCTCTCCCCCACCTTCCCCCTGCAGCTCTACCCGGTGCCACATTCCAAGAGAGTCGCATCATTCATCTCCGAAGCCCTGTTGAGAGAATTCTAGGTGTTCTAGCCCGATCTACCCAACCAACACTATTTGGTAGTCATCATTTACCACCTTACTTTTCCCTGATACTGACACCCCTCTTTTTCCCCCTCCCCTCTCCACACCCCCTGCAGCCGTACCTGCAAGCCTTGGAGCAGGAGAGCGCAGGGGACTGTGCGGATTTATTCACAGAGGCAGGCGATGCCTTCATGGCTGTCGGCCGGGCGGCAGATGCCGTCCGCTTCTACCGCCCGCTCTGCTGCCACTGGGATGATGTGGCACTCGCTGCTGCTGCTGCCGCCGATGCGGATGCTGCTGCAGGGGTTCTTGGGGGTGTTGCTGTTGATTCAGAGGCTGGTGGGGCAGGGACAGCGTCAGAGGGGCAAGGGGGAGGGACGGAGGCGGTATGGCAGGAGGTGGAGGGGCGGGCGGCGGTGTGGGTGAAGCTGGGAGCGGCGTGTGCTGCTGCTGGGCGCGTGGATGACGCCGTGCTCATTCTGCACAGAGGTGCGCAAGCTTGCATCGGAGGCTGCGGGCGCGCGTGGGGTGTCGAATCTAGAGGCGCACGTGGCGCGGTGGCTGGGGTCCTGGGAGGGGTTGGTTCTGTGTGTGAGGGGGGGAGATATGTGCGCGTCCTTCTTCCAGTGTCAGTGTTTGGGAGGAGAGGGGTGGAGTGTGCATGTATTTTTGTCCCCTTTGTTTGTGTGTGAAGCGAAATGGGGCATGCAAGTGTCTGCATCTCTCTGCACCTTTCTGCCGCTCCTGTGCTTGTGCTTGCATCTGTGCATGTGCTTGCATCTGTGCATGTGCTTGCATCTGTGCATGTGCTTGCATCTGTGCATGTGCTTGCATCTGTGCATGTGCTTGCATCTGTGCATGTGCTTGCATCTGTGCATGTGCTTGCATCTGTGCATGTGCTTGCATCTGTGCATGTGCTTGCATCTGTGCATGTGCTTGCATCTGTGCATGTGCTTGCATCTGTGCATGTGCTTGCATCTGTGCATGTGCTTGCATCTGTGCATGTGCTTGCATCTGTGCATGTGCTTGCATCTGTGCATGTGCTTGCATCTGTGCATGTGCTTGCATCTGTGCATGTGCTTGCATCTGTGCATGTGCTTGCATCTGTGCTTGTGCTTGCATCTGTGCATGTGCTTGCATCTGTGCTTGCCCGCACCCCTGCTTGTTCCTTTCCATCTCCATCCTCTGCATTCCCCCTCTCTCCCTCCTTTACACTTCCTTCCCTCCTTTACACTCTCTCTTCCCTCCTACACTCCCTTCCCTCCTTTACATTCTCTTCCCTCCTTGACTCTCTTCCCTCCTTTACACTCTTTTCCCTCTACACTCTCTTCCCTCCTTTACACTCTTTTCCCTCTACACTCCCTTCCCTCCTTTTCACTCCCTTCCCTCCTTCACACTCTCTTCCCTCCTTGACACTCTCTTCCCTCCACTACCACTCTCTACCAATTCACTGCCATCTTCCGTCTTCGCCCTCTCGTCTCGAGCAGCACGTTGTCCATCCTCACCGCCACCATGCACCGGCACTTCCTCTTCCCCGCTGCCCACGTTTCTCCTTCCCCATCAATTTCTTGCCTCACCTGCACCTGCCACCGTTCATCACCTCTCCTTACCAGGCCTCACCTCCCTCGACCTTTTCCCTTTCCTTCCACTCTCCCTTCTTCTCTCCCTAACACACGCTCTCCGCTCCTCCCTCGTCCTCCCTAACTCTCCCCTCCCCGCCCCCCAGTGGTGGCATGCATGCCGTGGCTGCCCCACCCCCGTCTGCACCTCTCCTCTGCGCTCGCCCTCACGGGTCGCCTGCCAGAGGCAGCGGCTGTGCTGGAGGGGCCGGGGGAGGGCGAGCAGGGGAGGGGCGAGGGGCAGAAGGAAGGGGCAGAGGCAGCACAGGGAGGATCTCAGGGGGGGGCTTCAGGTGCCACATGCTCTTCTGCCATTCCGGAGGGCAGCGCAGTGGGTGGGGCGGGCGAGGGGGCGATGAGGAAGAGGGGCGGGGCGGCGTGGTGGAAGCTGGTGGAGGTGCGACTGGCCAGGGCGTACCTGTGGGACAAGGCTGACAACGCCAGCAAGTTCCTGGAAGTTGCGCTGCCCATGGTGTCCCAGTCTATGTGGGCAATTGACAAGAATGAGCGGGTGGGTTGAGCAGGCAGGGGTGTGGGCTGGCAGGGGCGTGGGCTGGCAGGGGCGTGGGCTGGCAGGGGCGTGGGCTGGCAGGGGCGTGGGCTGGCAGGGGCGTGGGCTGGCAGGGGCGTGGGCTGGCAGGGGCGTGGGCTGCGCAAGGGACTAGGTTGGGCAGGCGCGTGCGCTGGCAAGCAGCAGAGTGAGCAGGCGGTGCTTCAGATGTATAGATGCGGGTGAGGCATGTCAGCGGCAGGGATGCATGCATGGATGGATGGATGGGTCGGGGTGAGTGAGGCGTGGGAAAATGGTTGAGCGGACAGGAGCGGTGATGCACAGGAAGCAGTTTTGCTTGAAGGGGACAGCGTTCACATGACATGAGCAGCGCAAGTGAGTTCATGGTGGGAGGTTGGATGGGTGCTTCACTGCTAGCATTGGCGGAGCGGAGCTGGTTGTCTAACGATTGATCCCGTGGGAGAGGGGAGTTATAGAGAGTAAGTGGGACTTGCCTTCTTCATCCCCTCGTGTCTCACCCCTTTCACCCGCCCCCTGCCCGCACATCAGATTCTGTCTGCTTTTCGGGCGGCGCACCCGTGGTGGAGAGGGTGGATGAGGCAGCTGAAGGAGCTGCTGGGCGAGCAGGCGAGGGAGGGCAAGGAGGGGCTCTACCGCGGGCTCAAGCTGCGCCTGCCGCGTGGCATTGCGTGAGTTCACTTCACAGGGATGGCGTGCTTGCAGAGGGGGGGTTGTGGGAGCACGGAGGAGGGATTGTGAGACCCCTCCCCTCACACGTCCTGATTCTGTCACCACCTCTCATGCCATCCTGTGCCCTATCCTCTCACCATGCCATCACCCAACCTCTCTCAGCACCTCATTTCTCTCCTCCCTCACACATCCCATCACCCCTCTCCCTCCTCGCCCGCCCTCCTCCCCTTACCTCCCCGCCCCACTCCCTCCTCTCCTCCTACCCCCACAACCCCACCAGCTGCCAGCTGGCGAATCGGCGGCGCCTGGCCCGGCTGGCAGCAGAGGAGGCGGAGAGGCAGGCGGCGCTGGGAGAGGGGAGGGGCTCGGAGGAGGGGGGGGGGGGGGCAGGAGGAGAGGGGGCGGGGAGGGCTGGTGGTGGTCGAGGGGGGATTGGCACGGACTCAGTGCGGCTGCAGCTAGAGGTGAAAGGGGTGGGGACGAAATGCTGGAGAAAGGAGGGAAGTGAGAGGGGGTGGCGTGGTGAGAAGGGTAGGGAGAGTAGGAAGCGGGGGAGGGGATTTGGGGAAAGCCAGTGGGGCAAGCAACAGATTGTGGGAGTGGTGTGCTGTGGAGTTGGAGTAGTGAATAGTGAATAGCGTTTTAATCGTGAGAATAGTGGTTTTCCACTCACCACTCCACCTCCCGCTCCTCTCTGATCTGAACCCCCTCTCCCCTCCCCTCCCCTCCTCCTCCCTCCTCACTCAACCCCCTCTCCCCTCCCCTCCTCCTCCCTCCTCACTCAACCCCCTCTCCCCTCCCCTCCTCCTCCCTCCTCACTCAACCCCCTCTCCCCTCCCCTCCTCCTCCCTCCTCACTCAACCCCCTCTCCCCTCCCCTCCTCCCTCCTCACTCAACCCCCTCTCCCCTCCCCTCTTCCTCCCTCCTCACTCAACCCCCTCTCCCCTCCCCTCCTCCTCCCTCCTCACTCAACTCCTCCCCCCCTCCCCTCCCCCCCGTGGCGCGGCACAGCTGAGCGACTTGGGGCTGAAGGATGTGGACGAGCCCACGCTGCACGAGGTGCCGCTTCCTGGACTCTTCTCAGACGACCAGCAGTTCGCCCTGCTGCTCAAGGTGCCCACGCCTCCTCCTTCCTTCCTACGTCTCGCCTTGTAATGCCTCTCACTGTCTTTCAGTTTCCTGAGAAAGCTCAGGCGCAATCAGTGGTGGGTGCTCGGGTGATTTGGATGGTGGATGGTGGATGGTGGGGATCGTGCTGGTGGACCGCTGCTTCCCCCTCTCCCTGCTGCTGCCACCGCCCTTCCTCCGCCACGCCCCTGAAGCCTCTCGCCTCGCTCATCCTGCCCCACATTGCCCAACCTCTTCCCATGCACCCCACTATGCCCTGCCTCTTCCCATGCACCCCACTATGCCCTGCCTCTTCCCATGCACCCCACTATGCCCTGCCTCTTCCCATGCACCCCACTATGCCCTGCCTCTTCCCATGCACCCCACTATGCCCTGCCTCTTCCCATGCACCCCACTATGCCCTGCCTCTTCCCATGCACCCCACTATGCCCTGCCTCTTCCCATGCACCCCACTATGCCCTGCCTCTTCCCATGCACCCCACTATGCCCTGCCTCTTCCCATGCACCCCACTATGCCCTGCCTCTTCCCATGCACCCCACTATGCCCTGCCTCTTCCCATGCACCCCACTATGCCCTGCCTCTTCCCATGCACCCCACTATGCCCTGCCTCTTCCCATGCACCCCACTATGCCCTGCCTCTTCCCATGCACCCCACTATGCCCTGCCTCTTCCCATGCACCCCACTATGCCCTGCCTCTTCCCATGCACCCCACTATGCCCTGCCTCTTCCCATGCACCCCACTATGCCCTGCCTCTTCCCATGCACCCCACTATGCCCTGCCTCTTCCCATGCACCCCACTATGCCCTGCCTCTTCCCATGCACCCCACTATGCCCTGCCTCTTCCCATGCACCCCACTATGCCCTGCCTCTTCCCATGCACCCCACTATGCCCTGCCTCTTCCCATGCACCCCACTATGCCCTGCCTCTTCCATGCACCCCACTATGCCCTGCCTCTTCCCATGCACCCCACTATGCCCTGCCTCTTCCCATGCACCCCACTATGCCCTGCCTCTTCCCATGCACCCCACTATGCCCTGCCTCTTCCCATGCACCCCACTATGCCCTGCCTCTTCCCATGCACCCCACTATGCCCTGCCTCTTCCCATGCACCCCACTATGCCCTGCCTCTTCCCATGCACCCCACTATGCCCTGCCTCTTCCCATGCACCCCACTATGCCCTGCCTCTTCCCATGCACCCCACTATGCCCTGCCTCTTCCCATGCACCCCACTATGCCCTGCCTCTTCCCATGCACCCCACTATGCCCTGCCTCTTCCCATGCACCCCACTATGCCCTGCCTCTTCCCATGCACCCCACTATGCCCTGCCTCTTCCCATGCACCCCACTATGCCCTGCCTCTTCCCATGCACCCCACTATGCCCTGCCTCTTCCCATGCACCCCACTATGCCCTGCCTCTTCCCATGCACCCCACTATGCCCTGCCTCTTCCCATGCACCCCACTATGCCCTGCCTCTTCCCATGCACCCCACTATGCCCTGCCTCTTCCCATGCACCCCACTATGCCCTGCCTCTTCCCATGCACCCCACTATGCCCTGCCTCTTCCCATGCACCCCACTATGCCCTGCCTCTTCCCATGCACCCCACTATGCCCTGCCTCTTCCCATGCACCCCACTATGCCCTGCCTCTTCCCATGCACCCCACTATGCCCTGCCTCTTCCCATGCACCCCACTATGCCCTGCCTCTTCCCATGCACCCCACTATGCCCTGCCTCTTCCCATGCACCCCACTATGCCCTGCCTCTTCCCATGCACCCCACTATGCCCTGCCTCTTCCCATGCACCCCACTATGCCCTGCCTCTTCCCATGCACCCCACTATGCCCTGCCTCTTCCCATGCACCCCACTATGCCCTGCCTCTTCCCATGCACCCCACTATGCCCTGCCTCTTCCCATGCACCCCACTATGCCCTGCCTCTTCCCATGCACCCCACTATGCCCTGCCTCTTCCCATGCACCCCACTATGCCCTGCCTCTTCCCATGCACCCCACTATGCCCTGCCTCTTCCCATGCACCCCACTATGCCCTGCCTCTTCCCATGCACCCCACTATGCCCTGCCTCTTCCCATGCACCCCACTATGCCCTGCCTCTTCCCATGCACCCCACTATGCCCTGCCTCTTCCCATGCACCCCACTATGCCCTGCCTCTTCCCATGCACCCCACTATGCCCTGCCTCTTCCCATGCACCCCACTATGCCCTGCCTCTTCCCATGCACCCCACTATGCCCTGCCTCTTCCCATGCACCCCACTATGCCCTGCCTCTTCCCATGCACCCCACTATGCCCTGCCTCTTCCCATGCACCCCACTATGCCCTGCCTCTTCCCATGCACCCCACTATGCCCTGCCTCTTCCCATGCACCCCACTATGCCCTGCCTCTTCCCATGCACCCCACTATGCCCTGCCTCTTCCCATGCACCCCACTATGCCCTGCCTCTTCCCATGCACCCCACTATGCCCTGCCTCTTCCATGCACCCCACTATGCCCTGCCTCTTCCCATGCACCCCACTATGCCCTGCCTCTTCCCATGCACCCCACTATGCCCTGCCTCTTCCCATGCACCCCACTATGCCCTGCCTCTTCCCATGCACCCCACTATGCCCTGCCTCTTCCCATGCACCCCACTATGCCCTGCCTCTTCCCATGCACCCCACTATGCCCTGCCTCTTCCCATGCACCCCACTATGCCCTGCCTCTTCCCATGCACCCCACTATGCCCTGCCTCTTCCCATGCACCCCACTATGCCCTGCCTCTTCCCATGCACCCCACTATGCCCTGCCTCTTCCCATGCACCCCACTATGCCCTGCCTCTTCCCATGCACCCCACTATGCCCTGCCTCTTCCCATGCACCCCACTATGCCCTGCCTCTTCCCATGCACCCCACTATGCCCTGCCTCTTCCCATGCACCCCACTATGCCCTGCCTCTTCCCATGCACCCCACTATGCCCTGCCTCTTCCCATGCACCCCACTATGCCCTGCCTCTTCCCATGCACCCCACTATGCCCTGCCTCTTCCCATGCACCCCACTATGCCCTGCCTCTTCCCATGCACCCCACTATGCCCTGCCTCTTCCCATGCACCCCACTATGCCCTGCCTCTTCCCATGCACCCCACTATGCCCTGCCTCTTCCCATGCACCCCACTATGCCCTGCCTCTTCCCATGCACCCCACTATGCCCTGCCTCTTCCCATGCACCCCACTATGCCCTGCCTCTTCCCATGCACCCCACTATGCCCTGCCTCTTCCCATGCACCCCACTATGCCCTGCCTCTTCCCATGCACCCCACTATGCCCTGCCTCTTCCCATGCACCCCACTATGCCCTGCCTCTTCCCATGCACCCCACTATGCCCTGCCTCTTCCCATGCACCCCACTATGCCCTGCCTCTTCCCATGCACCCCACTATGCCCTGCCTCTTCCCATGCACCCCACTATGCCCTGCCTCTTCCCATGCACCCCACTATGCCCTGCCTCTTCCCATGCACCCCACTATGCCCTGCCTCTTCCCATGCACCCCACTATGCCCTGCCTCTTCCCATGCACCCCACTATGCCCTGCCTCTTCCCATGCACCCCACTATGCCCTGCCTCTTCCCATGCACCCCACTATGCCCTGCCTCTTCCCATGCACCCCACTATGCCCTGCCTCTTCCCATGCACCCCACTATGCCCTGCCTCTTCCCATGCACCCCACTATGCCCTGCCTCTTCCCATGCACCCCACTATGCCCTGCCTCTTCCCATGCACCCCACTATGCCCTGCCTCTTCCCATGCACCCCACTATGCCCTGCCTCTTCCCATGCACCCCACTATGCCCTGCCTCTTCCCATGCACCCCACTATGCCCTGCCTCTTCCCATGCACCCCACTATGCCCTGCCTCTTCCCATGCACCCCACTATGCCCTGCCTCTTCCCATGCACCCCACTATGCCCTGCCTCTTCCCATGCACCCCACTATGCCCTGCCTCTTCCCATGCACCCCACTATGCCCTGCCTCTTCCCATGCACCCCACTATGCCCTGCCTCTTCCCATGCACCCCACTATGCCCTGCCTCTTCCCATGCACCCCACTATGCCCTGCCTCTTCCCATGCACCCCACTATGCCCTGCCTCTTCCCATGCACCCCACTATGCCCTGCCTCTTCCCATGCACCCCACTATGCCCTGCCTCTTCCCATGCACCCCACTATGCCCTGCCTCTTCCCATGCACCCCACTATGCCCTGCCTCTTCCCATGCACCCCACTATGCCCTGCCTCTTCCCATGCACCCCACTATGCCCTGCCTCTTCCCATGCACCCCACTATGCCCTGCCTCTTCCCATGCACCCCACTATGCCCTGCCTCTTCCCATGCACCCCACTATGCCCTGCCTCTTCCCATGCACCCCACTATGCCCTGCCTCTTCCCATGCACCCCACTATGCCCTGCCTCTTCCCATGCACCCCACTATGCCCTGCCTCTTCCCATGCACCCCACTATGCCCTGCCTCTTCCCATGCACCCCACTATGCCCTGCCTCTTCCCATGCACCCCACTATGCCCTGCCTCTTCCCATGCACCCCACTATGCCCTGCCTCTTCCCATGCACCCCACTATGCCCTGCCTCTTCCCATGCACCCCACTATGCCCTGCCTCTTCCCATGCACCCCACTATGCCCTGCCTCTTCCCATGCACCCCACTATGCCCTGCCTCTTCCCATGCACCCCACTATGCCCTGCCTCTTCCCATGCACCCCACTATGCCCTGCCTCTTCCCATGCACCCCACTATGCCCTGCCTCTTCCCATGCACCCCACTATGCCCTGCCTCTTCCCATGCACCCCACTATGCCCTGCCTCTTCCCATGCACCCCACTATGCCCTGCCTCTTCCCATGCACCCCACTATGCCCTGCCTCTTCCCATGCACCCCACTATGCCCTGCCTCTTCCCATGCACCCCACTATGCCCTGC